CAAATGGTTAATATGAGATCTTACAATAATTTCTTTTTTTCCCGTATCTTTCTTTAAGCAATTCAACTGCTAAATCATAATTATTTTCCGATACCAATAGTCCTTGAATACTAATTAAGGCTGGTCCTTTCAAGAAAGCTTTAAGATAATTATATTTATCTACTTTAGATAAGCGTTCGTTACTGTGAATCGCATTATCAAACTGTGACCAAAATTCCTGAAACTTCTCTAAATTACCCTCAAACGGTTCTACATGAAGTTTCGGCAAATTTATTCTCGGTTTGTCTGGTTCACTATTCGAAATAAGTGAAGAATTATTCTTCAACGAAAAATCTCCCTTATTTCTATCTGAATTCTGGAGATAATTCTTAACTTTCGATTTCGCGTAGATGATACGTTCTCTGTATTCCTGATTATTCTCGACTTCTGTTTCTAGATCAGATACTTCAGGAATTAAATTCTCAATTTCTAGATCTAACTTAAATATCTGATCTGATCTTTTTCTTGTAGATTCATCTCACATTTTTCTAATGATTTTGTATCTACAATATCCATGTTCTAATAATTCACATATTCTGTTAATTACTTGTGTTGTTAACCTTCTTAACGTTTTACGTTTTTTTTGCTTTATCTAAAGCTTTCTTTGTATTCTCATCCATAATATTACCTAATAATATAATTCTATACTTCTAAATTCTGTTAGAATATTCTACAGTTCGCATGCATTCAAATCTTTAAAAACGAAACTTACCCCTTCTTCATTTCTTGGTACGAGTCATTCAATGCTGCTTGCATCAATCATCCCACTTCTGAAATGTTAGCTTTAATCTCGTTATCAATCTCAAGACGGCTAGGGGTAAGTCGGGCTTTCACTTTTCATTCAATCGGGATAACTCTTGCATTTTATAAATGCTTTATTATTACAATATATACATATATACATATCATTACGGAACATTCTTAACATCAATCCTATTCTCTCGCTTCCCGATTCTCGATTGATATCGTGCGCCCCCTATCGGCGGCTTTTCTACAATGCCATCTATCGGCTGATAACATTCGGTCATTCTGACCTGACAATCGTCCCGATTGTTCGGAGTACAAATCAATTTTATAATTAATACAATTTTCTACTTCGACTCTTATACACAATACTAAACATACATATTACTAATACACTAAGAAGAATACACATTATACTAAAATTTGATATGATAATAAACTTACTAAAATATTTTCACATACATAAATTCACATATTTTTATACATTAGCATAATAATCGAAAATTTTCTGTAAATCATTACTAAATACGTGATATATATGAAATAACTCAATTTTTTTTCAGTCCTAAAATGATTCAAAAAATGCACTAAAGTCTTTCAGCTAATGTTCAAAAGTTCAAAGTCAATTAATGTTCAAAAGTTCAAAGTTTCTAAAGTTTTCTATCAGCAAACATACGTAGATAAGCACACACACAAAAAAAGGAAAGATCTCACCTTAATCACAGGGTAGAGCACTTCCATCAGTCCTTACGAACAGATCTGATTGGATTCCGTCGAGGAATTAAGCTTGATAACTGGTCAGTATCTTCATCGTCGCCGTCGTCATCATCATCGTCAGAGCTGGGATCGCACCTCCATGGCTTCAGCTGGCTCACATGAGCAGTGGTAGTGAAGTAGCGACCTCGATTCTTCGCTTCTAGTTGAGTTATTCTGTAGGTATCGCTAGGTAATATTTCCGTTATTATAAATGGCCCTCGATATTTCGGCTGTGTTTTGGTAGGTTGACCTGTAGCCTTAGGAGCACATCTCATCACAACTATTTCTCCTTGCTCGAATATTAGTGTACGACACCTCTTCCCATCGAATCTCTTTTTCATTTTCACTTGCTGTTCCTCAATTCTTCCTCGCGCTTGCTCTTGGATTTCTCGCGGGTCTTTCCATGCATCTGAATCTTCATCTGCTAACTTCCTAAGTATTCCATCATTAAATCTGGGAGAATACCCATGTAGCATTTCAAATGGAGTCTTATTCGTAGTTTTGTTTACCATGTTGTTAAGATTTCTTTCTGTCTCTTTTATTTTTGAATCCCAATCTCTGTGTTGTTTATCCATCAAACTTGTCATTATCGTTCCTAAAATTGTTCTGTTGACGCGCTCTACCATACCATTGGCTTGGGGGTGTTTGGTAGAATTCAAAGTATGATGTATTCCGTTATCTGTACAATACTGCTTAAATTGGTGAGAAGTAAAACAAGATCCTCTATCACTTATTATTCTTTCCGGTAGTCCAAAATCATTAACAAAATTCTTCAAAGACTGTAAAACATTTTTAGCACTAGTATTCTTAACTGCAAAAATTCTCACGAACCTAGTCATGTTATCAATTATCACTAATAGTTCTTGATTACCTCTCGAACTCTTTACGAAAGGACCCAAGTGATCCATGTGAACAATAGCAAACGGTCTTTTACCAGGTTTTATGGGATGTAACAGTCCTTGTTGCTTGCCACCTGTCGCTTTATTCATAAGGCACTCAATACATGCTGATATGTGTCTTCGTACGTATCGTTTCATGCTTGGAAACCAATATAATTCCTTAATTTTGCTAACTGTTCTATCCACAGAAAAGTGACCAAATAAATCATGGAATTTCACCACTACACTCTTCCTCATGCTTTTTGGAATCACATAGAGTAGTCTCCTTTCCATCCACTACGGTTTTCCAAAACAGTCTATTCTTCTTAAACACGTAATTCATAATTATTTTTTTCTCCTCAGCAGTTCGTTCCTCTTGTTTCTTCTTGAAAATTTCGATAATTCTTTTCAGGTCTTGGTCAGCATGTTGTATCATTAGTATTTGCTCTTCTTCGGTTAGGGACTGGCAAACTTCAAAATTTTCAGCTATTCTCGTCATCGTATCATCAGCTTCTGATACAGGACCTCTGCTCAAAGCATCAATATGTGACAGTCTTTTTCCTGACCTATGCTTTATCTCAAAATCGTATTCTTGAATCAAACTACACCAACGGGCTATTTGAGGATTTGTAGTCTTCTTCGCATTCATATATATTAGAGCTTGACAGTCAGTAATAATTGTAAATCTTATGCCGATTAAGAACTGTCTTAACCTGTCCAACGTCCATACGATGGCCATTAACTCCAATTTGCTGGAATGATACTTTCTCTCTGCTTCTGTTGTTTTCTTACTGACGCAATAAACAAGATGCCATTTTCGATCTTCATCACGTTGCATTAGCATTCCACTCAAACCTTCTGCACTTGCATCACAATGGACTTCAGTATCTGCATGCGGTTGATAGTGAGCTAATATGGGCTTATCAGTCAGTTGTTTCTTCAATAGTTCGAACGACTTCTTTTGTTCTTGCTTCCACTCGAAGTCTCGATTCTTCTTTGTCAATCTGGTCAATGGTTCGCTCTTTAACGCATACTTCGGCACAAATCGTCTGAAAAATCCAGTCAGGCCCAAAAATCTTCGCACTTCGTGCACATTCTTTGGTTCCGGAAATTCTGTTATGGCTTTTATTTTTCTAGATCCCGGTCTAATACCGTTTATAATAAAACCAAGAAAGAAATCTACTTCTCTTTTCCCAAATTCACATTTAGATAATTTCAAGGTTAAATTTGCTTTTCGTAGGCATTCTAATACCTCTTTTAATTTGAAAATCATCTCTTCCCAAGATTTTGCAGGAATAAGTATATCATCCATATAACACAACACCTTAGTATTCAACAAGGGGCCTAGGACATATGACATTAGGCGCTGAAACTCAGCAGGAGCATTTACTAACCCAAATGTCATCCTTTCGAACTGTCCTGTTTCATCTGGAGTAATGAACGCCGTCTTCAATTTAGCTTCTTCACTTAAGGGTATTTGCAAATAGCCATGGGCTAAATCCAGAGTAGTGAAAATTTTGCATCCTCCTAAACATTCTAAAAGATCATCTATTCGAGGCAAAGGGAACTTATCCTTTATCGTCTGACTATTAAGTCTGCGGTAATCAATTACCAGTCTGTATTTCCCTGTTTTTTTCTTTACTAGTAACACTGGACTAGCGTAAGGCGATCTAGTTTCGGAAACTATCCCATTATCTTTCCATTCCTTAACAATTTCTTTTATTGCATTACGTTCAGCTGCATTCGTTTTGTATGGGCGAGAAGACACAGGCTTACTCCCGTCAATTTCTTTGATGTCCATTTTTATTACGTTCGTGCAACCTAATTCACTTAAATTAAGAGCAAAGCAATCCCTAAATTCATTTACTAATTTTAAGATATCAGTTCTTTCACTATCTGTAGTTGCTGGTAATCGTAATTTCGAAAAGACCGAAAATCTTAATAGACTGACAGCGCTTCCAGTATCAATCAAACATTCGATCAGTTCACTTTCGTTAATTATTGCTTTCTTCAAATACTTTGAAATGTCAGATAATCCATCATGATTCATCGCGACACTATCTTGATTTTTCATTTTGTCATTCTTGCATTTCTTCGCGACTCTCTGTCTGACGCGGGAGGCATTTGGCGTCACAAATTAAGCTAGAATGTTTACGCTTACATGTCGTGCAGCGCTCTTTTGATTTACATAAGCGGACCACGTGAAATTTTTGGAAACATAGAAAACATTTCCCGTTCTGCTTTAAACTTTCTAATTTCTGTTCGCGTTCCTTATCACAATTTTCGGAACTGTGCTCAGAATTATTGCAAAAAATGCAAATTTTCTGAAATGTGCTCAGTGCGGTTGCATTAGGAATCGAATCTTGCTGCTTCCCTTTAAACTTCTGAAATCTATTCCCCTTTTCCGAAAATTTATTAACTGACAGTTTATAGTCTACGCTTTTAACTGATTCATTATTTTCCCTTGTTTGTTGAAACAAAAATGTTCGTTCTCGCGTTTCTATTTCTCTTCTAAGAAATTTTAATAATTCTGTTACATTCCAAGAATCGTCTTTTTCATGCTGTCTATAAAAATCTAGCACAATGGAAACTGGAATAAGTTTGGTTAGTAGTGGAAACAACAAACTTCCATATGAATTCAGTTCGACACCAAGAGTTTGTAAACCCCGTACTTGGATTTCTATCGTATCGTATGACTCCCTTAACTGTTTCAAATACGAAGCTGATTTTACTGCACTTAAATTTAAAAAATGGTTAATGTGAGATCTTACAATAATTTATTTTTTCCCGTATCTTTCTTTAAGCAATTCAACTGCTAAATCATAATTATTTTCCGATACCAATAGTCCTTGAATACTAATTAAGGTTGGTCCTTTCAAGAAAGCTTTAAGATAATTATATTTATCTACTTTAGATAAGCGTTCGTTACTGTGAATCGCATTGTCAAACTGTGACCAAAATTCCTGAAACTTCTCTAAATTACCCTCAAACGGTTCTACATGAAGTTTCGGCAAATTTATTCTGGGTTTGTCTGGTTCACTATTCGAAATAAGTGAAGAATTATTCTTCAACGAAAAATCTCCCTTATTTCTATCTGAATTCTGAAAATAATTCTTAACTTTCGATTTCGCGTAGATTATACGTTCTGTGTATTCCTGATTATTCTCGACTTCTGTTTCCAGATCAGATACTTCAGGAATTAAATTCTCAATTTCTAGATCTAATTTAAATATCTGATCTGCTTTTTCTTGTAGATTCACATTCTTCTAATGATTTTGTATGTACAATATCCTGTTCTAATAATTCACATATTCTGTTAATTACTTGTGTTGTTAACCTTCTTAATGTTTTACGTTTCATTTTTGCTTTATCTAAAGCTTTCTTTGTATTCTCATCCATAATATTACCTAATAATATAATTCTATACTTCTAAATTCTGTTAGAATTATTCTACAGTTTGCATGCATTCAAATCTTTAAAAACGAAACTTACCCCTTCTTCCACTTTCTTGGTACGCGAGTCATTCAATGCGTACTTACATCAATCATCCCACTTCTGAAAATGTTAGCTTTAATCTTCGTTATCAATCTCAAGACGGCTAGGGGTAAGTCGGGCTTTTACTTTTCATTCAGTCGGGACAACTCTTGCATTTTATAAATGCTTTATTATTACAATAAATATATACATATCATTACGGAACATTCTTAACATCAATCCTAATCTCTCGCTTCCCGATTCTCGATTGATATCGTGTGCCCCCTATCGGCGGCTTTTCTACAATGCCATCTATCGGCTGATAACACAACTTTTTCATAAATGTATAAGGCTGTATGACTTTACCCATCTTTTCCTGAGTTTGATACTGAATTAAAAAAATACGCTAACACATGCTATTGTTGTGAAATTAAATATAGCAATCTTGTGACAGGAAGTAATAGGTGCAAAAAATGTATGAGAATAATCAAGTACAATCTGATGCAACAATATATAAATATTGCAAACTGAAAGAACTAAGTGATAGAATAAAATACCGCTTTAAAAAATGAAATTGAGACCAAGAGTTACTTTAGATGAAAAGGAAAAATAAAATTGTAATGGAATTAGATGACCAACTGAAATAAAAATATTGAGAAAAATTTAAGGAACTATTATTTTAAGAAATGGAAGTATATTTAATAAAAAATCTGGCCAAGCTTTCAATGTAAGTCTTGGCCCTCCATGAAGCAAGAAGGGGCCTCGTGGCAACTAACAACAAGTTCTGTTAAATTTTATCTTGCTTCTATTGTGCACTGAGACAAGTAAGCTTGAATTGTATTAGTTTAGTTATTTATTATACTTATGTCAATTTCTTGCACATTCTTAAGGTTTTTCAGAGTTCTGAATATATAAATTCTGACATATACATCATGGCACCCCAGGGTGCCACAGTGCATACTTTGGGAACCCCTGCTATAAAACAAATTTTGATGAAAAATTCTTTTAATAAAAGACACAGTATTATCATTTCTAAATGGAACTCAGCTTGTGAAAAGTAAATTTTTCTCCAAGTGATTTTTTAGCATATATACAGTACAAAGTCCGAAATCCGGGCTTGTCAGGACTTCGGTGATTCTGGATATTAGATCATCAGTTTAAATCTAGTAAGATGGTATGTAGAAATTATATAATTAAAAATATGAAATCGTGATTTTTGAAATAATGAAGTATTTATGATCTAAAGGGTATCAAAATTTACAAACAAAAAAAGCTTAATATTTATTTGTTTACATTATTAAACATTTCTTTCAATGTAAGTTGTTTAAGTTGCTTCATTTTTTGTGCTAATACTTTCTCTTTAATTCTGTAGACAGACATAATCTCTTGTTTAGTTACATTGTTGAAATTTTGTAACTATTGTGTCGAGAATTCTGACTAATTTGTCAATCAAAATTTTTTCGTTTTCAGTAACTTCTTTATCACTTTCTTCACTATCATTATTGGTATTTTCTGGATCTAGAACCATATTACAGATTTTGCCATACATTAATTTGATTGATGATTGAGAAGCATTGTCATCACAATGAAAAACTTCTTTTATATCATCTTCATTTATTATCTCTTCTCCATATTTCTTTACAAAATCTGTTAATTTGAAAATTTCACCTTTGTTTTGCGATATTTGAAACCTTTAAAATTCACGGCTATTATCATCAAATTTAGTTATCGTTCACTATACATATTTGGCTATGCATCATGAGCTTGGCAACTAACAACAAGTTGTTCCGTTAAATTTTATCTTGCTTCTATTGTGCACTGAGACAATTAAGCTTGAATTGTATTAGTTTAGTTATTTATTATACTTATGTCTATTTCTTGCACATTCTTAAGGTTTTTCAGAGTTCTGAATATATAAATTCTGATATATACATCATGGCACCCCAGGGTGTCACAGTGCACACTTTGGGAACCCCTGCTATAAAACAAATTTTGATGAAAAATTCTTTTAATAAAAGACACAGTATTATCATTTCTAAATGGAACTCAGCTTGTGAAAAGTAAATTTTTCTTTAAGTGATTTTTTAGCATATATACAGTACAAAGTCCGAAATCCGGACTCGTCGGGACTTCGGCGATTCCGGATATTAGATCATCAGTTTAAATCTAGTAAGGTGGTATGTAGAAATTATATAATTAAAAGTAAGAAATCGTGATTTTTTAAATAATGAAGTATTTATGATCTAAAGGGTATCAAAATTTACAAACAAAAAAAGCTTAATATTTATTTGTTTACATTATTAAACATTTCTTTTAATGTAAGTTGTTTAAGTTGCTTCATTTTTTGTGCTAAAACTTTCTCTTTAATTCTGTAGACAGACATAATCTCTTGTTTAGTTACATTGTTGAAATTTTGTAGCTATTGTGTCGAGAACTCCGACTAATTTGTCAATCAAAATTTTTTCGTTTTCAGTAACTTCTCTATCACTTTCTTCACTATCATTATTGGTATTTTCTGGATCTAGAACCATACTACAGATTTTGCCATTCATTAATTTGATTGATGATTGAGAAGCATTGTCATCACAATGAAAAACTTCTTTTATATCATCTTCATTTATTATCGCTTCTCCATATTTCTTTACAAAATCTGTTAATTTGAAAATTTCACCTTTGTTTTGCGATATTTGAAACCTTTAAAATTCACGGCTATTATCATCAAATTTAGTTATCGTTCACTATACATATTTGGCTATGCATCATGCGCTTGGCAACTAACAAGTTGTTCTGTTAAATTTTATCTTGCTTCTATTGCGCACTGACACAGTTAAGCTTGAATTGTATTAGTTTAGTAATTTATTATACTTATGTCTATTTATTTTACATTCTTAAGGTTTTTCAGAGTTCTGAATATATAAATTCTCACATATATGTAAGCTTTATTGATGGCCGGCACTAGATATCTTACCGTCTGATGCAGTTTCTGTGGGTCCTAAATTCTGCAACCCAGTGCTGCCGTACGAGCCATGGCATTGGCTCTGGGTTTATGTGAATAAAAATTTAGTTATTCTTAATTCAAATATCCCAAAATGTAATCTTTAAGTCTATGAGTATCATCAACAAAATCTATTTTTAGCATATTGAAAGAAATTTTTGTCACATTTTTCCTTGTCAACATTTTTAGCACATTTAACTTAAATCTGTAATCATTGGCAAGTGTAATGTTAACATAAAAGGTTACCATACTTCGTTATTCAGTTACATAAAAAAATTGTTTAGGCATCGCTACATGAGTCATTACTCAAGTTGTCATGTGCTGATAAACATGCGGTGATGAAAGGAAAGTATGATAAATAATGATTCGCCAGTTGGCATTTGATTAATGATGTATCTCTGTTGAATATTTCGGTCTGAGATGTGGGCCAAACAGATATGCATCAACAGAGCCAAATTACTGATTGTACAAATTTATGCTAAAATGATTGTTTCTTCAATAACAAGGTATTTTATTTAGTGTCCAAGGGATATTAAGAATCGGGACTCTCCAGATGTTTTATTATGCGCAGAGGGGGGAATGAAATGCGCATGCATAAAGCCTACTGGAAAGACGTTCTTGGTGGTTTTGAGGTTTGGATTTTAGCTCATTCTGGATAATGAAAGTCCGGATTTCGGACTTTGTACTGTATTTGTATTTATTTTTGCTTTTAACATTTAGTGGATTATTTAATTTTGCTTCAGTTCTGTAAATTACACATTTATCTCTACAATTACATTCACATCTATTATGAATTTTTTTCTTGTTTAAAATCGCTTCGATGAATGCAAGTTTTTTTCCCCAAGTTTTTATCATTATAAAATTTTTAAGGAAAATTATAGAACCAAATCCATTTACCAAAAAGCACAAAATGATATTTTGGAAAATGTAAAATAATGAATCAAATATTAAATTGATTTGTTTTTTTCAAAATCATGTCATAATTTAATCAATAACCCAAATTACCAAATTATGCACTTTAAAGTGTTTTTTTTTCGCATTTGTCAAACATGTTTTTATTTTGATTTATTATTATTTTTTTATTTTATTTATTTATTTATTTATTTATTGTCAAATTCTTATTGTATTATAATTATTTTGCAGAAGAAGTTTGATTATTTAGCAGCTACATATTTATCTCTTCTATCAAGAAAAAGAGCTGGAGAACCTGTTTCATTAATCAAACAGCGTCTTGTCCTTAAGGAATCTAAAGTATGTTGTCTTAACATAATTTTCATAACATATGTAATTTTCAAGACATCTAAAGTTAAGTTGCTTTAACTTACTTTTCTTAACACATATAATTTTCAGTTTTTTTTTCCCATTTCATTTCTGTAGCTAGGAGTGTATCACTGTAGCTAGCTGGGATGTCAGGGAGTTGTAAAATTTAGTTATTCTTAAATCTATTGACTCTTATAATTTTGAAAAACCGAGCAATCAATTTTTTTGGGGGGTGGGGGGATCTTTTCTACTTAGAAAACTGAAAACTTCAATGGAAATATTTTGTACAGATTTATATAAAAAATATTGTTATCAAATCTAATTTTACTGCTATAAGCATGTTTTGTACCTATATTGAATTGCTGTGTGATACTACTCAAATTAATTGCTGCACTAATAAGCCCACTAGTGGCAATTGAATAAGTTTTCTAAACACTGACGGTTTGATTTTTTCCATGTCTAGGGAATGAGCTAGCTGCATTAGTGTTTTTATAGTTTTTCCTGTGTGCCATGTGAGTGCAAGTTGGTTTCCATTAGGAAGTCCTCCACAAAAGCATGATGCTTCTTAGGCAGATAGCCGTGTGCTTTACCATAATCAGTTAACCTAATCTATTGCCAATAACTGTAAATAATTTGAATGCATATAACAGTGGTTTAGCTTTATTATTTTAGAGTTTACCTTATCATTCTGATGAATTCAGGAAACTTGCAGCCTAATAAAAATTATATCTTTTAATATAATTTCAGCTTTCCTGTATTTAAAATAGCATTGATTTTCAAAGAATGGGGGGGAGGGAATTTGTTGCACAAGATTCAGATGTTTTCTATTCTCGTAGAATAGAAAACATTCTAATTTTGTCAAGTAGTCTTTTTTTTGACAAGATAGTATTATTAACCTTGGCAACTTCTATCATAAATTTAATGTAAAAAATGCAAGTAAGTAAATAACTATTTATTTAAAATATATAAATAGTTTGTACAATATGTAGGCCAAAACAAAGTCTCATTAAAAGTGGTATTTATAGTATGTTTAATATTATAGTATGTAAATTATTCATAAGCCCCTTCAAATGTGAAACAGAACATTTCCTCTTTTTGTTTCTTTCTTTCTTCCCCCCCCCTTTTTTGTGTGGGTACACATGTACTTAAATTTAACAACCTCTTTTTTTTTTTTTTTTTTTTACTTTTTAATTTTTCACAGTTTACATGTCATCTTTTGTACATCATTCTTAAAAATAAATGTTTTTATAAAAAAGATGCAGAAGTCTAATATACATATAAAATATAGTTCAACCGAAAAATTGTAAAATACATATCATGGGATTAAAATTGAAAAATTCTATGTTATAACGATATGTGATTTCCATATTTTAATTATAATATTCCATGTATTTACTCATGCACAATTAAAACATGGAAACATAAGTTAATACATATTCAGGTGTGTTTTCTTGTCTATATTTTAATCATTATTCAGAACGCTGCTTCCAAATTTTGAGATATGCAATGAGCTTTTCCTTGATTTGTTAATTTTGAGATGCTAAATGTGCAGCATGAAACTGAAAATTTTTTAATGGTCAGCTTTGATGTTAGCTTTTTTTTAAATGTATAAAATTTCACATTTGCTTGAAACTAAAATTTATGCAATTTCTTATAATTTGCATTTAAATAGAATGTGTTAAGTAATTTATTTCAAACTTTGAGAATAAGTATTTGAAGTGCACACTTGGAGCTTCAGTAGGTGGTTATTGGTATTCTAATACTTTTGAGGTGTGCTATGATGCAGCAAAGTGGAATTCAAGCTTTGCTGTGTTTGACAAGTTGCTATTCTTCAGCCTATGTGACGTCTGTAAGAATAATAATAAATGAATTTCTGTCAATATAAATGGTATGAGATTTCTTCAAAATTCAGCTGAAGGTGTACAACAACAACTCAACAGAGTACTGTCTACTATGTTTTAAGAATGGAACATGCATTGCTTTTATTTTGTTAAATAATGCAATTCTGCTAATATTTCCCATCATAAAAATTATTTGTTTTTGTTGATATACAGGGTTGTTCAAAAAGCAGATTTCAAACATTTATTTCTTCCAAACTACAAAGATAGAAACATGATTCTAACGTTAATGGATAGAGAAAAGTTTACAATTATGGTATGCATTCAATAACTGCAGTTTGTATGGGTTCATGTGCAGACGATGTTTTAGAACTCGCCATACCGTTGGTTGAGGAATTTTAAGTTCTTTACTTGCTCGCGATGTGGATTTCTTTGGGCTCCTTACGTAAAGTGTATGAATATGCTTGACATTCTCGTTCGATGTGCAAGGATGTCCCGTGCTTTTCCTTTTGCAGTTGCAACCATCTTCTACGAATTTTCGATTCCACTCGTAAATTTGCTTATGATGCGGTGGTTGTTTATTATATTGATAGCGAAATGCTCACTGAACTGTTACAATGAACTCTAGTTTTGCCAACTGTAGAACACAAAAAGACTTCTGCTGTGGTTTTGCCACCATTTCACTATAGACTACCACCCGACAAGTAATACCAGAACAAACAAAAGCACCAGTGCGGCCATGATTGAAACTTTTACCCATACTAAATTGTACACTTTTCTCTAAATGATGGGTTTATAAAGTAGCATCAATGGATGTAAATTTAAGTCAACATCTGATTAACTGGAATAATACTCAAGATCAGAGATTTCCAATCTTTTTCTTGCATCAGCCCCCTTTTAAAGTGATAGTTTTTCATCGACTCCCTTATATTTTTCTCTATAATATATATTACAAAGTATAACTGTATTGTAAACTGTACTTAATAATAAGAATATAAACAAAAATGAGTCATTAAATTTATGTATAATTATTTTTACACTATTATTATTTTTTATTTTATAAATATAAACAAGTTTATAAAGTAAAATCACATCTAATTTCACAAAAGCTCATATTTAATTAATGTAATAGCTGCACTTGATGAATTGGTGCTGTTATTAATATTTGGCATAAAATTGCTTAATTTAATTTTTAAAATCCCTCACTCAAAAATGTTCAACCTGTTTCTTGTTTTCCATTCTAGTTTTGCTTTCTTTGTATTTTTTATGTGTGTATGCTTATGTTCTTGTGTTTTACTTTTTATAGTACGCCTATTGTATAAAAATTATATATATTTTAAAAATATTATTGACTTTTTAAATATATTAAATAATTTTAGTGTATTTTCTCCCTTATATTTATTTTGTATGATTTCTTCCTTACTGCATGATAAAGTTTTATATCAATAAACAATTCACAATTTTATTAATTAAAGCCCCTTTTTTTCAATCAGTGCAATCTCGATTATGCTGATCAGTTTCTGATGCATATTCAGCTGTTGACTCCTTGATCTTCATTGATCTCCTTTAAAATTTCATTCAACTCCAGGAGGTCAGTGTGGACCTTGTTGGGAACCTCTGCTCAAGATGATCAGTTAACCCGAAATCACAGTTAATTTGATAAAGTTAAACATGAAAATCTGGATAAGTTTATTGGTTACTGTAAATTAAATCAATATTCAAAACAAAAAATGCATGATAAATAACAGAAGAATGAATATAATTAGAAATAACAGAAGGAAGTTTTAAATGATATTAAAGAAAATATTTACAACAGAACTTAGACCTTTTTGAGGTCAAACCTGGGGCAAAAAACAGTGAGTAGGGTTTTTTTTTGGGGGGGGAGGGGGTGGTTGTTGTTGTTGTCATAGTAATTTTCATATCATTTTTCAAAACAGATTTAATATTTTTTTTATGACAGGGCCTGATTAATTCCCACCTAATCTGCCTCCAGTAATTCATAATTGACTGTAAAATTAAAATGTATCTTTCATTGATTACTTTATGTTTTTTGTTCCCAGCCATGTCTGAGTAGATAAAACAACCAAACACAGTTATACTTCAGGTCAACCTAAGTTGAGAACACTGTATATAGTAGAAAGTGTATGCGTCCACTGTAGAATATAGTTCTACCATTTCAAGAAGTAATATTGTAAAATTTATGCTGTGACATATGAAGACTGTTGAACAAAGAGAACGGAAAGAAAAAAAATGTGTCAAACGATAGATTACGTTGCATCCAGCTTTTTGTTTAAAAATTTCCTAAATCGTGTCAATCATTCAATGACCAGTAGGAAGATATCCCCTTTTCTTGGCATTATTGGCGAAACTGCAAATTCCAGCAACCCCGACCTCACCCCACTCTTGACGAGAAAAGCAGTTAGGGCATTCATTTATTCACTGACCGGGAGGAGTAAAAAGTAATTGTTATGGTATCTGCTTCATCTTCAACATATGTGTATAATTTTCAACCTCATAAAGCTGGAAAACCTCATAAACCTGAATAAATAGTATCACTAAGATTATCGTAATGAATGTTTTTGTCAATTACGAGACGGCATTTTCCTAATAAATACAATAACGATATTGTTACTTGTTATAATCTTTGTGGGATTGAATACCTCAGGTAAAAAAAAAAAAAAAAAACCTTTTCGATGTCACAAATTAAAAATGCGACAGCCGTTTTAAAGGCCCCCCCCCAAAAAAAGGCAGACCTATAAACAGTTATAAATAACATTATAACTGTTATACAAGCTAACAAATCCCTTAGAAAATATAATATGGAAGTGTCGCACCAGTAGCTGAGTACTTAAATCGCTGAATCGTTTGAGCGCAAGCGAACGGGCTGTATTCATGTTTGGTTTTGGTGGTTTTCCCATGTGTAACGTGAATACGAGCTTGTTTCCTTTAGAAAGTCCTCCACGAAATGCATCTCACCCCTTAGTCGGATATTGTGTGCTTTGCTATATTCAAATTACCTAACCTAACTAATACGGAAGTACTGATCAATTAAATTAACTATGGTAGAAGGAACAAGGGTTTCTGTCTAAAGGAAGAGATGGCTTCATGGGGAATTTATAAGGGTAAAGGACCTTTTTTTATACAACACACTGAGGGACAGTTCAGAGTTCAGAGCTTACAAAAGCCATTACAACCAACTCGCTGCATACTACCAGTGTTTCACGGCTTAAGCAACTCTATCATTAATGCACTTGACTTGCAGATGATTTCATCTAAGGAAACTAATAACCAGATTTTTTTCATATGCTATGCTTGTTGTTTTTATACCTCAAAGGAAATGTATGGTTTTTGCCTAAATTATGCAGTCATAGACGATAACTTATATAGTCATTCACATATAATTCGCAGTTTCTCAGTGAGCTGAATCAGTCTGCTTTTTGTAAATTGAGAGATGTAAAAGCAATATATTCCTTAGCGCGAAGCAAAAGACCCATCTTTCACGCCCCATCACGCATAGACATTTCATTCATCAAAGGATAAAAATTTTAATTTTAAAATACAAGCAAACTGTCATTTAATACAGCAAATGTCTTAAAAGCAATAAATGCAGCTCTTAAGAATTTAAATTTTTTTATACTTTTTTAGTTCTTATGAATATTTGCACTTTGTTGTAACTAATATAAGACATTTCTAATGTTATAATTTTAATTGGTTAGTGGAATTAATCGCTATATGATTAATTAATTGGTATAAGATCATTTGATTCTTAATTTTAATGTTTGTTTCACAATTTTAAAGCTTTAATATTTTTCTAATACCTTGATGCTTTTAATAGTGAGCTCTTTAGTAGACTACAATCGGAAGATCTCAATTTCCAGTCTTTTTTTTTTTTTTTCATTTTATTTTTGATTTTAAACAGTAATCAGAAAGATAGGATAAAAATGTATTGTAGGAATGTGATTTTCTGAGACTGACTGGAAATGTGTGTGTCTTAGGAGACAATTAATAGAGGATATAAATGTCTGCTATAAAATATTATCAGAGTTTTTTAAACAATCGCAAATTAAAATCAAATTAACGTCTTTAAAAATTTTTTAAAAAAAAAATTTCCTCTTGTTCACTGTTTTGGTAGCAACAAGCCGCATAAACTCTTAAAAATTAAAAGAAAATAACTTACTACCAGATTTTCCAACTTTATATATTTAACTTTTAACTAAGCAAATGGTCTTGGGGGAAAAAAAATTTGACAAAAACTGCAAAGAATTTCAAGTTTCAAATATCATCAAATTAGTATTCATCACATTTAGATAATAGTGAAATATTTCACATAAAATAAGACAATGAATAACATGCCCTACATTTTACACTATGATGAACTATCAATTTCAACTGCAGCTTCAATGCATAAAAAGATTGTTATTTAAAAACGCTGAATTTGGCAAGAAGTCGCCAAATTTGTAGCAAATTGGAGGAATTGAATATCTGCGGGCATTTTACTGCGTATGGATAACTTGAAGAACAGGGTGAAAAGCTGTGAAAAGTTCGTTTTAGCCTTGTATGTGTTCTCACGTTAGCTTGTCGCGAAGTATAGTTTCACCTAGATTCATTTCCCAGTGAGCAGGGTGGTTGCATGGGAGTTTTGTACTTTTCTCCAAGTGTAATATAAATAATATCTAGTTTACCTTAACATACCGTGCTTCAAACAGGCAAACTTTACATGCTTTGCTGTAATTGATTAAGCAGTGCATTTTGTACTTTTTCATTTAAAAAATAAATTTAGAATAGAAACATTTCCAAGTCAATTTCAAAGCCAAAAAGTTTTATTTTTGTAGTACGGTGAAATGGTTAATAAACACATGCAATTTTTTACATTATAATTCTAAAACATGTCTGTCTGAACAATATGGCAGTTTGCAGAAGCAGAGTACTAGATTCTTATCAAAGATATAAGTTCATTCATACGTAAGGCTCGAGGGTTTGTGTTCTGTATTTCCTTATAAGTGTAATATTGATGTTCTGCTCATGGTTTACCTTGACGAATATTTAATAATTTAAAAATCTTATTACACATCATATATCTCTTCACAGTGCTAATGAATAAAAATTGTTTCATTGTTCTATGCAAATTATTTTATACATGAAGTTATGAATTTGAGGAACTTTGGCTAGGAATGAATTTGAGGTTATGAATAGGTTATGAATTTGAGGAACTTTGGAATATTTGATTTCTGCTTACAGTTATGAACTTGATGTCCTACTCATGGTTCACCTTGAGGAATATTTAATAATTTAAAAATATTATTACAATCATGCATCTATTCACAGTGCTATTGAATGGAAACTGTTTCATCATTCTATGCAAAATATTTTATATGTGAAGTTATGAATTTGATTAATTTTCTGTTAGATTTTAAATATTTAATTTCTGCTAACAGTTATGAACTTTTAATGAATAGAAATGTATTGGAAAGCTTATAAAACCTTTAATGAGAGTTTCTTTCCTTGCATAATATTATGTTGTATAATTCATGATTCTCTGTTATAAAAACACATGTAACAGCATTCTTAATTATTACTTTTAGTGTCATGTGATAAATTTTCTTTTTCTTGCTTCCCTCCCTTCATGTAATGATCTTGGATTTGTTCAAAAGCTTTAACATTATTATTATTTACAGTGTAGCAGCAATTTATCAGTTGTTTTTGATTCATCACCTGCTACGAAAAGTGTGTCAATGGACAGTTTAACCAATTCAGATTTACTTATTTTGGGAAGTCCCCAAAAGGATTCTCTTGATTCACTTGATGTTTCTATACCAAGTTCTCCATCACTCAGTGTTTCCAGAAATGCTTCTAATAAAGAAAACTTTGTCTTGCCTGAAGTTCCCTCTGTTAAGAAAAATAAGAAGTCTACCTCTAAAATCAATTCTACAGAAAATTATAGTAAGATAAATTTATTTATTAACTCTTTAGTCTCAGAATTTTTTAACACTATGTACATTTATATCAACTGCAGAAAATTTATGAAATGGTGTTGTTGATGGCACAAAATACAGTGAACAAATACATACTTTATGTAATATTTTGTGCATTATTATTTATTATATTTTAAATATCTTAAACAAGCCAATTTGAAAATAAATATATATATATATATATATATATATATAATATATATATATATTTACAGTAGTACCTTGAGATACGAGGTTAATTCATTCTGTGACCAAGCTCATAAGTTAAAATTCTCATATCTCAAATCAATTTTCTCCATTGAAATTAATTGAAATGCAATTAATTCATGCCAGTTCCCCCCAAAAAAATCATTCCAATTTTTTTGTTAAGTGTTTTCAATATAACAGAAATATGTTTAAACGAACAAATGTTGTATATAATCAAAATAAAACTTAATAATTTACTTTTTAATTAAAACCTAATAAAAGAAAATTAAAGAAATAGACAGATGTATACATATCAAAATAGTATATGACATGTATATTAAATTGTTTCCCTCAACTTTATTTTCTTGTTTGGTAGTTCTTTTTTGCCACGCTTTCATCACTTTCATCTGAACAGTGTTTCAATAGAAACCTGTCCAAAGAGTTATGCTTCTTTCTCCCTTTTAGAATCCTTCTGAAATGACGGTGTCACTAAAGAGTGTTGCTGCACGACCATTTGCAAACTTTTCAGGGTGTTTCTCTTTAACATAGTCCAAAACTTTTCTCACAGGGCCAGTGCATCATTTATCTCACTTGAAGAGGTAGCCTCCTTCACTTCTGGCTCCTTCTGCATTAGTTTGATGCAGAAATTCTATTTGCTGCTGTATCTCTAGTTCCAGCAATTCCTTCATCATCAGTTCTTCAAACTGTGCAATTTAAACTCATTAATACCTCCCTCATCTGCTTCCAGGCCCATGGACTTCCAAAGATACACAAGCTCTTCCAGCACTTCTTGTTCAGGTCCTAATCCTTCAAAGTCACTTTCGGTCACAATGTCATGGCAAAGCTTTTTCCATGCAGCGACCAAGGTTCTTTTTGCAACATCCTGCCAGGCTATCAATAATTTTGAGGCATATGGCACTAAGGGTTCTTTCCAGAACTCTCAAAGGGTGAGGTTTGTGTTCTCCGTAACCTCAAAATAGTGTTAAACATTTTTTTTGGTAAAAGGTTTCTTAAAATTGGAGATCATCTATTGGTCTATGGGCTGTAGGATAGGAGGGGTGTTGGATGGATGGTAATGATCTTTTATAAAGCTGAATTTCTTGAAGTCATCCTCAAGGTTTGGTGGATGACAAGCATCATTGTCAAGGACTTGCATAGATAAGTCACTAACCTGAAGTTATTTCTTAACAGCATGACAAAAGACCAAAAATTATCTACTCAAAAATACTTGCTGGTTACCCCTGCCTTTGGGTTTGTCCGCTAAATAACCTGTAGCTTCTCTTTTGAAACCTTATGTGTCTTGAAAACTGTGGGGTTTTCTAGGTGGTATATGAGCAATGGTTTGACCTTGCAGTCGCCACTCACATTTTCCACATGTATGAGAGTCAACCTATCTTTCATGGGCTTGTGACTTAGCATCTTCTTTTCTTCTGCCGTTATGTAAGTTTTGCTTGTCATCATCTTCCAGAAGAGCCCTATCTCATCACAGCTGAACATTTGCTGGAGGGTGTGTTGTTTGGGTTTTACTAATTCAGCAAAAGTTTTTACAAATTGCTGAAAGAAATACGACAAGATAATTTCTTTATTTTATCCATAAATTTCTCATGAAAAATTACAAAATTTAATATCTAGGTGTAATTTGAGTCATAGAATCGAAATATGGGAAAAAAATTTTATGCGATTTCTAAAAAAATCTGATTTTGTGTCAAAATACCTATGCTAAAACAATTCTATATATAAATCTAATTAAATCTAATATAGTATATCCTAAGTTGCACTTTCAAGACAAGGGAAATGCAAGTTAAATGTCGACAATCGGTCCAGTAGAACGGGTGATATAAGACTGTGCCATTTTTTTTCCTGCAAGGTGTACATCTATAAACGTTCTCTTTCAAGTATGTTCAGTTTGGTATATGTCCTGTTTGAGTGTGAAAATGTTTGTATAAGTATACAGCATTTGTTTGGAATGTGACTTAAGTTCGACATGTCACAACTGTGAGTACTGTGCTTGTCTATCCCTCTCAAAGCACCACTGTCGCTCCGAATTTTCAAGTGTGTTTGCTTTTTTTTTTTTTTTTTTTTTTTTTTTTTTTTTTTTTTTTTTTGTCATTATTGCTGAGTTTTAAGAAAGTTAATGAGAAGGGTCAAACAATGAAAAAATGGCTAGGATTACCATGGAGGTTAAAAATATGTTTGTTGTTGATTGATGTTGAAAAGTATGAAGATGGCTTGCATATTGGCTATTGCCTACGAGTACGATAGTTTCTGTGATTGCAAAAAAACAAAAGATGTTGTTAAATGAGCTAACATGTTGATAAGAGGAAAATCGTTTATCAAACAAAAATGAGAGCCGTTAGAGGATGTTGAAACATTGCTTTTGTTCTGGATAGCAGAAAAACATTTATGCACAGTATCATGTGCAGTGCTTCATTTATGTATACTATATATTTCACCCACTCCATTTGTATTTTAGCATTAAACATTGTTCGAATAATAAATTTTGTTTATAAAAGTTTATAAAAGTGAATTAATTATTTTTCTTTTATTTTTGATTGGAAAAGTTCATTTGGCATACATTCAAAGATATGACATATACTGAACTAACACTGTAGTGTGTTTCTTATTATTACGGTATTGGGATCTTTGCTTCTGCCTGAAATATTGTAATAGGAAATTTTTGATGAATATGCTCTGATGTGTTTTTATTTAAGTATTTAACATTTTTTCCCTTTCTTTCTTAGCCATTAGAACTCCTAAACCCCTAGGAATGTCTTCATCTTTAGATGGTGCTGTAAATCAAGTTGGTGAAACTAGTTCATCTCTTTCTTCACAGCTGCTCTCTGAAAAAAGGTATGGGCAAGAAATATTAACTTATTTTTTAATAAGAACTATATTTTATTTGCTGTAAATAATCCATTACAGAATAATAAGTTATCATCTGATATTTAAAATTTTCAAAAAGGGGATAAATTTTGCCATAAGATTATTTTCATATGTGTTGGTCACCAAGTATTTGTAGAAGGGAGGAATGTGATGGTAAATGCATATCAAACAGACTTGATAAGTCTTATCTGTTATAGATTCAATGAGTCTTTTATCTGCTTTACTTGTTACCTGTTTTCTGTATCTATCTAGAACTCAAGGAGTCTGAATCCCATATTTTTCATAGTTAGAAATTTGCATCAAGTATGACAAAAACTGAAGTTGTCTAAATAGTTTGATTCAAGACCTGAGAGGGAAACATGATCAATTTTCCAGTTTTATCTACGCACTAATTTGCACTAATTTCATTGAATTAAAGCAAAAATTTGCATTAATTCAATATGCATAGAGAACTGCCCAGCAAATTTTCTTTATTACTTTAAACTTCCCCTAAATATCATTCTAAGTTATCTGATACATCAGTATATACCTCTTTAACAAAATTAAAATGAAAATATATTCTGTTTATCATTAATGAAATTCCATAATTTTTTTATTTATAAGACAGAACAGAATTTATCCCTTTTACATGAATATAATCAATTACTGTTCTCGAGCCATATTTATTTATATATAGTTTTAAACTAATTTATTTATTTGTTTATTTACTAATGTACACTAAAACATAAAAAGTGGATATTACATCAATATCTTTGCTAGTGTATGCAGTAACATTTAGTTGGCAATGATTTAATGAAGTTATCATCTGATCTTTCAGAAGTAATATGTGTACCTACTTTTTTTAACTAAATATTTTATGATATTTTAGACTCATTAAGACTTCTGTAAGCCTGATGCTAGGTCTTTTTTTTTAAACTGTTTTAGTTATTATTATGCTATGCTGTCTTCAGTATGGGGAAGAGTTTGCCTTTTGTTCTAGGTATCAATTGACAAAGTTAAAATTGCATTTTTTATTCTCAAAAGGATAAGTTTAATATGCTTTTTACTTATGCATAACAGAAGTTTAAAAAAAATATTGAAGAGTCAGTTCTAGATCTGTGGTTCCGAGTTTAAGAAATGAATTAAATAATATAGGATTTCAAATTGTAATAATTTTTATCAACTTTTTTTTTTTTTAAGTAAAAATGCAAGAAATTTAAATTCTTTTAGAAGCCTTCTGTGAAGAAAGGTCTAGTTAATTATTTTAACCTACTAAAGAATTTTTTTGAGGGGGAGGAGCAGGAGGAGGCAAATTGCCCATAATATGCAAAATTATCTCAAGCCAAATTTCGCTTCCGCTGGCTCAAATTTAGTAGTCTTACAAAATATTTATTACGCAATTCAAAACTAGTGTCCTCTCTGCTATTTAACTACATTTATACTTGCTGTTGGTAATGAAAGATAGTATTACTTTGTTTTTCAGAACATGTTACTTTTACATTTGAAATTATATTCATCCAGTGTTAGATTTTGTTTACTTTTAAAATATATCAAAAAGTTTGAATTGTGAAAAAATCTGCTTGAATTTTTTAATTGGCCATGTGATTTTTTTTAGTGTTGACTTTTAATATTTTATCAGCATAAATATATATAGGAATTTTTTTTTGTGTTGACTTTTTAATATTTTATCAGCATAAAGCACTTTATGCATTCTTTCTAAAAACTAATATTTCTAAAACATTCTTTCTAAAAAAGAAAGAAGCACTTTATGCATTCTTTCTTTATTTTTTCTTTTTTTTTTTTTTTTTTTTTTTTTTTTTTTTTTTTTTTTTAATGAAGCAACAGTTAAATGCATTTTCACTTTCTAACTGTTCTCTTTCAACAGAGCAAAATCATTTGAATCGCCAACTCTGGTTACTATGACTCCTCAGAAACAACCTCAAAGGCATGGAATGAGTTCATCTGCTAAGAAGATGTTTGGAAGCATTGAGAAAGGATTAGATTGTGTCAGAAGTCTCTTAACTCCTAAGAAACGAATGTACGGTTGTGGAACTAATAGGCCTCGAAAAGTCAAAGTTAGTAAATGGATAATTTCATGATTACTAACATTATAATACATCTGTGCATCTTTAATTATATGTTATAAACAGAAAGTGCATTTTTAAATATTTTATGAAACTAAATTTCTTTGTCGCTTGGAAAGGGTTTATTGGAACCTTATATTAAATATTGTATATTAATTAGATTATAACTCCAGCAACTCTATGCAAAGCCATGATACTAACTGGGTCAGACTCCCTTAATTTTCAGCACATGCCAATCTTGCCAATATCAGGCATTCATGCCTGTTCTGATCAGTGTATCTCTTTCTTTCTCTTTAAGAGCAGCAGTGATGGCAGTAGCCAAGCCTCTGTTGTGAACCACATTGGTTATGATTTTACTTCTTATTTTAACCTATGCTGCTTAACATAAAATTTGCATAAACCTCTGAACTGAGTGATTCTGTACCAAAATAAGGCATAAAAGAAAGAATCAATGTAAAACTAATTGTTAGTAAAACTTAAATGTCACTAATCTTGTTTAAAATATTTGGGACTATTATAAGGATAAAATGTTAAGTAAGTGTAAATTTTAGAGGAATTTTGTAATTTAATGCTAATTACTTTTTATTCTCAAATTTGTTTTATAGTTATGCTAAGTATTAGATTATGTTTAATAATAATATATCCTATTTACAGATTTATTATTATTATTATTATTAGAATGGTGTTACAAAAGTTAAGTTTGGGTATAGATAATTGCTTTAGTTTATTCATTCCCCTTTGCTGGTGGGTCCTTAATATTTTTCTTTCATGATCCTTAAATGGTGTTAAAAGTATTTAATTTCAATGTGCAGAAATGTGTATGAATCCAGTTCATGCCTCCTTACTAATAATGCTGTATTTTTCCCCTCCCAAGAATCTATGTAATGTGTCTGCAACAAATGATAAAGTCACTCCTGAAGAAGTTCTGGAATCCTTACAAAATGCACTTCTTAGGAAAGGAATTCCTTGCAAACAAAATGGGTAACATTAGTTTTATATATCTTATCAGATCCTTCATTGTTGATCATGTGCTTATTTGTGCCCCTGCCCCATGCTTTTATTTTATAATTTTTATCTGTAACTATAAATTAAAGTAATGCCTCGATATGCATAAATAATACATTCCAAAGTATGACTACATGAAACTGCAGATAGTAGCAAATGCTACATGTGATGTGATATGCAACATACAAATTTTGATGATATGAAATTAAAGAGACTAGATGGGAGAGGGAGAACTAATTGATTGACAGTTTGAAAAAGTTAATATTCATTTAAAATTATAAAGTGCAGTTTGACCTGTTAAAAATTTTTGGTTTTACTAAAGTGATCAAATTTCTACTTCAGGTAAATACAATAAAGTTTAACCTTTTGAGGCCGAGGCTTTGGTAGCAGTAAAAGCCTTGAAAGGACGGGGATCTTGAACCGAATGCTTTCCCCCCTTTAGGAAATCACCTCCTGTTTGCAACAAAGATTCTTGTGTGTAGTTTAATAGATTCTCAGAGGGGTGCATCTATGTTGCAAAAGGAAGGGAAGTGTAGGGATTAGTGACCAGATTTCAAAATGCTTTTCGTCACTGAGGGAAAATTTCATATTATAGTTGTTCCGAATTGAGAGTACTGGGAAATGTGTAAACCTCCGTTGAAGAAAATGCCATTCTTAACGTTATAGGGCATCATTTTTATAAAATTTTGGTTTGAATTTTAAATTACACTGCAAAACTATGTGTCTTTACTAAGTGCTTACAATAATTCTTTCTATTGTATCTTTATATTAATGTTATGTGAAAAAATATTTCAACTATTTGATTATTTACTTGAACAATTTAAAATTTAACCAGTCTTCATCTCAGTCTCTTTTTTTTTTTTTTTTTTTTTTTTTTTTCTTTTTCTTTTTATTGTTAAATGTCCTTATAATTTTTAAATTGTTTTGTTATATATTATCAAATATAGCTATATCTTTGAACTTTCTTCCATACAGGGAATAATTAAAAAATAAACGCTTAAAACTATAAAAATGATTAAAAATTAAAATTCAGTGGAACTGTTAAAATTATGCTCTATAGGCACAATAAAATTTTAATTTTACATAATTGTTCAAAATCTGCTTGATAACATACTATTTAAGGAGGAAACGTTCAGCAAATTAGAATATAACTGGTTTAATTAAAAATTATTTTATTTTATTGTGGACTGTTAGTACTACAATGTCCAACTTCATAAGTGCTACTAATTAAAATTCAGTTCTTTTCCAAAATGAATGCATAATAAAACAGATGCTCAAAAACTGTTTTTTAGAATTTAGTTTAAAATTAAAAATATGTATATATATATATTTTTAATCATGTATCGTTTTATACTGTTTATTGAAAATTAGTAAGTGATATATTTCAAGTATTAATAATAGAATGAATTTAAGTCATTAAAAGTGTCAAATTATTTAGTATGCAAATCCATAATTCAAAACGTAAATTCCATTTGTCTAAAACTAAGTTCTCAGCCTCACTAAGGGAACGTGTTCGCTCGGGTATCAAAACTTAGGTAATTTCTTAGTGCAAAGAGTTTTTTAAATTGTTTGTTATGCATAGTGTCTGCAAAAACTGGGACAAAAGTTACACAATAATTAGTTGTTGTCTTCAATACTGTATTATGTTATTCTATATTATGCTACATAATTTAGCACATTAAGAGAAATATCCAGATAATTTCAGGTGCCTGGTCAGCAAAATTCTCTCCTGTTTGATATCGTCGTCGCATGTGAATTTTTCTATTTCCTCTGTTGTTTAAACCAGTTTGTTTCAACTCCAGACTGTTTTTGTAGCAGCTTTGACATCAACCATGGCGGCATATTTTATATGGTGGAATCTTTTTACTATTACAGTTGAATTAACTGTTTTTCTCTTTTTTATTGAAAATTTGGCAGCTATTCATTGGTTTCATTAACACTTCGGTCATTATGCTGTCATATCAAAACTATTTCATAACTGAGTGCCCTAGGTATGCCCCAGGAATTTGTCCTTGAATGTAGTTGTTGAGATATATGTCTAATGAATGACATAGGCATTCAATCACTTAAAAGGTCAAGGTTCAGAAATTCAGATAGGGAACATGTGTTGTCTTAGAACATTGATTTGTATATTATTTGAGAGCTTGAAATCGAGACACTGATACGGAGTTACCTTTTAAAATAAGAGTACATCTGGAATCTAATGGCTAGAGCTGACCTTTCAGACTGATTGACTAGTTTTAGTGTATTTATGATTTCCAGGTTTCAGACTGAAATTGTAAAACTATTGTTATTTCTTTGACACAAAATTTATATTTATATTCTTGTGATTTGTTTAAATAACAATACCAGTACAGTAAACTTCCGTGTGTGAAGGTCACTTCAGCGTAAACAGATATATACGGAAATAAAGACAGACATAACTGTTAAGAATGAACGATAAGAATGTAAGAAAAAGTGCTTGTACATGTATACAAGTGCGTGGGAATTTATATTTGTGTATGGAAATGTATACCTACATATCCATGTAGTATGTATGTCTGCACTGATATAATATGGTATAAGTGCAGATATGCACATAAAGTGGAAAGCATGCGTACCCTTAAATTGGAATAACGTATATACAGACACGTACATGTACACACACAGGAACACATATGCATTTGTATATATATATATGTGTGTTTGCATGTGGATTTATGCATACGGGTATAAACATACAGATATATGTGTGTGTATATATTTCATCATCAAACTCTTGAAGAAGTTTTCGTATTTCTTCTTCAGTTAGACCTCTTTTCCTTTTCGACATTTTGCTAGAAAAATTTCAAAATAATTCCTAAAAAACTTACAAAAATATGCGATATTCTAAAGCAACGCAAGGCTCTGTTTACAATTTACAAACGCAGTTATCGGGAATTCTGTAGCTATGTAGCTACAAGAACTAAAAGGGAAAAATTGGGAAAAACGGATTCTTAACACAGACCTTTGAAAGAGATAAGTAATTAAAACCCCAGGGACGTCAAATTTGACATTTCACCCCACTCTTTCAGCCTGGAAAATGGGGGAAAAAGACATAGCCACTAAAGTGGACAACCCGTCATTTCAAACAGAGGACTGTATGACCACTTTAATGGCCATCGCATCTTCAAAAGGTTAATTGATAAATTTTGTGCAGTAAGATTGCAGTTTCAAGGGAAGAAAAAACAATAAAAATCACACTTTTTGAACACTGCATAAGTAATCAAAGATTTGTTCAATTTGCATATGAGTATTTCTGTTTATGGTGGAAAAACTATCATGTGAAGACGGAACTGAACACATTAAATAAAATGCTGCATTTCTTTACAGCCATTTTTTGTTTGATAAGCATATTTTGTAGCTTTTAAACTGCTAATTTCTTGCATTTTCTGCAATTGCTTCAGGCTACAAACAATTGAAAGTGGCTTCCGTATTACTGAATATGGGAACAAAGCTGTAACAGTAAAACATTTAAGAATTATAGCTAATAGTAAAAGTTGTGAAAAATAAATATTTTTGGGTAGTTTCAATTGCCCGATTTCATTTCTTCATCACACTTAAATATTTTAACTGTCCCATCTCTAATGTGAAATTATATCTCATAATCATAAAGTTTCTATTGAATTTCAATGACTAGATGACATAAAAATCTTAAATAATGAAAGTTAAAAAGTATGCATTGTTAAGAAAGTAATCTGTGCAGAATTTTTTTGAAATTAGTGGATTTTTTTTATCCATGACACTTGTTCTAAATTAGAATCATTAAAGCAAAATATCAATTTCTGTAGGAAGACATTGAAGCTAACTCTTTTTGCAGTTGTGATCTTAGATATTGATAAAAAGTATCACTTCTATGTTTTATAGCAAAATAAATACTTATGATCGAAAATACTAGCAATAACTTCACCCATGATACTTGTTTGTGCTATACAGTATAAGTAAAAGAAGGATAATTTGTAGTACCTAACTTTTTCTGCTTACATTTGATTTAATTTTCATTTTTGTTAATTTTTATTGTTTGAGAAACAGCTCTTCTGCATTTTCTTAAAAAAAAAAATAATAAATAAAATCAATATGATAACCAAATTTTCTTCTTACTCTCTTTTCTTTCATTATGGATGAGTAACATCTGCCTAATATTGTTTTGGAGCTTTTTCTTGCAGTTTAGCATAATGTATTTTTTTTTTAATTATTTTTGTAGTAAATTCTATAAGTTATCGGGTTTTAAGTAAAGTGTAAGAAAGAAATATATATACAGTACAAACCTCAAAATCTGGATGTCCAATATTTGGAATGATGATATATATTTGGAAATGGAGAGTGTAATATTCCAGAAAAAGCAGGTGTACCATATGAGTGATTTTTCTCCTAACTGAGATTTCTGTTTGCTACTTTCAAACACTTGCTGGTTAGGTATCTGGCCAATGACAATACATTAATTGATGTTCTTGGCTGTGACAATACTTTCTCTTTTTGAGGGATTATGGAGGTGAGGAGAATTAATATCTTTCTATCTGATAAAAACAATAAATGAAATCGAAAACATATTTATTTGGAGTGGAGTATCGTCGTTGTGTAATAGAGGAAAAAGAGAAAGATTTAGATTCAAATGGGATAAAGTTCAGTTTATATAACAAACTGTACTATTCCTTAACTAACATTTACAGCCAATACAGTCAAAAGTCATTAATCCGGACTCGTCGGGACTTAGGTGATTCCGGATTATCGATTTTTCTGGATTATAGATCATCATTTTAAATCTGGTAAGATGGCATGCAGAAATTATAAAATTAAAAATATGAAACTGTAATTTATGAAATAAAGAACAATTATGATCTAAAGAGTATCAAAATTTACAAAAAAAAAAAAAAAAAAAAAAAAAGCTTCAATATTTATTTGATTACTTTATTAAACATTTCTTTCAATGTAAGTTGTTTAAGTTGCTTCGTTTTTTA